TATTTATATATATAAGATTTAATTTGAATTGTAAATAATTGTAACCAAAACAAATAACATAAACAAATTAAGCTCTAATACTCAAATTTAAGCTCATGTGATGAAATAATATTGATTATTGCATAGTTCAGTGCTGAATTTTACAAAAGACAGAACCCTCTTGTAAGTCCTCAAACTTGTCCCAAATTAGCACAGGAGCCCCTGAACTAAAAATAGTGTAAATAAACCTTCAAAACCTTTAGATAATGCAAATTAGTCCTCAAACCCCTACAAACATGCAAAACAGCCTCCATCATTAAAATCTCAACGCATGTAATCTCATATTGTCTATTCTTTTCCTTTACTTAATTTCACTTTTTCACGTTAATCAAAGAATTCCTTAGTCAGTAAAAATTCAACCACAACGACTCATGTTACTTTTTCCTTTCCTTTTTTTTTTATTTTTTATTTAGTATTCTTGGGTTATGTGAACAATTTTGGTGAGATTTTCACCACCCAAGAGGTTTTTTGATCCATGTGAGCATCAACGTGGAAAAGTGGCACCAAATGAAGGAAAAAAATTGATGGCTTGAAATTACATACGTTGAGCCATCAATGATGAGAGTTGATTTACATTATTCAAGAAGTTTAAGGGTTTATTTATATCATTTTTAGTTTAGGAGCTCACATATTAATTTAGGGTAAGTTTACGGGCTTAACAAAGAATTTTACCTTTACATAATTAGAGTTTGATTTTTATTTATGAACTCACAATGACACAATATTATGGCAATTCCTTAAAGGTGTGTCTGGTTAAAAGTCAATTCCTAGGCAATTGATTAATTAAAGTATCGCACCGAAAGTTAAAACTTTTATAATAAAAATTTGTTAAATGATTTATCTAATGGTATAAGATAAGAAATAATTATTTAGTAATAATAATTAAGTTTTTTCTTAAAAAATAAGGTTAATTTTTATTTTAATTGTGAATGTTAAATGTTAACTTTTTATGTTCATTTTAAATAAAAGGTTATAAATTATTTTTTAATTTAAAATTTTACATTTTTTAAGAAAAAATATCACAATTTTTAATCAATAATTGCCATTATCCTATGCTCTTTTTTTTTTTTTTGGTTTCTCGTCCGGTATCAAGGGTTTCGCCCCAACTACTCCAGACTCGACCAGCTGTGGCGCACCAGAATGGTGGGTGGATCTCTCAACGAAGGCTGCTGCGTACACAAGGTTTCAAACTCGAAACCTTACTTAAGCTGAAACAAGCCGCTTACCACTTTATGAAACCCCTCGTTGGTATTATCCGATACTCTTAGTCTTATAGCACATGATAGACAAATTCTCTATTAAAATATTGTTGGATTAGTTATCTTGTTATGTGTGGTAAGAAAAAGTTGATAGTTAGATAAAATTTATAAGAATCTTTTTTTCCTAAAAAATGATGGAAAAAAAA